CCTCCAACACCTGCTGCTGAACACTCAAGCATTGTGCCTCTTCCAAATGATGGCCGCCCTGCGGCACGACGCATGGCTACGCGACAACTTTGTTCCGGCATGTGCCGTTTACACGCCACGTCTCCCGCTCGGCTAAGCCTCTCGGCGGCCGGCTCATCGTAGCACCTTGGAATCGATAGTCCACCACCATATCCAGTTCAGTGTAAATTATATCTAAATAGACTCACTTCAACAACAACGTATCTCTCAGCAGAGTTGACGCAACATGGTGCATGGCTAATACCTCGCCTTAGCACCTACTTGTATGTCTGGGAACCACCGGGGGCGAAAAAGTGGCTCTGTTGTTTTTATCGCATCGATGCAGCGACCATGTAGTGCAATCGCGTGCACGCGATCAGCACGGCTGTCGCCTCGACACGAAAGACTTGGCTACGCACGTCGACCTCGCCCTTTTCGGGCATTGGGTCAACAGGCGCGTGGACCCGTCGGTTCGAACAGCTCTCTCAACGTAGGAGCACCACGATCCTATTTACTTGCTACGCGAGTCCGGACGGGAATCTGGCCGTGCCACCACCAGCCGCCACGAAGATGCATTTGAAGGATCACGACGAGACGACGCTTGAAGCAACCAAGAATGTTCTTGCGTGGATGAGAGCCGCGCGCCATGACCATGATCATCATTGTTGACACGACACGAGACATGCGTCCGTGCGAGGAGCCGTGCACTCTGCCGTGCACCGACATCAATATTGGAATGCTTTCGATGGCGGCAGCTTGTGCGAGGCAAGATCTTCCGCCGCGGTCTCGTCACTTCTCGATACGAACCGGCGGCCTCGTGGCGGGTCGTTGCCTATCGTGTGCGAGGCGCACTCTATGAGTGAAAAATCCAGTGATCACTTGGCAGATGGCCGTGTTGTCGGCTGGGGTCATCACAACGACGTACGGGTCGCGTCATACAAAATCACTCTACGTGTTGCGACGAGGTCGCACGATTCGTGCAATGTCGTTGCCAAGGGTTGGTGCATGTGTCTGACGCAAGCGGACGAGATGTGCTCCGGAATCGAATGGATCTTGCCACCCACCGTTAAGTACCTTTTAGAGTGCCGCAACGCGTTCGGTCATCCGGATATGGTTTCGAGGGGTCCCTCCAAAACGCCTAATGCCTCGACAATACACTCGTTTTGGTAGGTCCTCTCGAATCTTCGACATCCGGATACGGGGTACGTGGCACCTGCGACAGCGCGCTGTTGCGTCAACGGGCGCACACCTGTCGCGTCAACAGCTTATATTTCGGCGCGACGAGCCGCTTTGGTCAGATCCGAATCCACCAGCATGGACACAGCATCCTCGCTCCTCACGTCTCTGCCACTGCCGCTGGCCATGGACGCGACCTCGCTCTTCCAGTGGGTCGTGCTCTTAACGGCCATCGCCATTACCTTTCTCCACGTGGCCCGGTCGCGCCAGGCCGCACCGACGCTCAAGGGTCGCCTGAAGCGGCGCATGTCGACGCTCGGCTGGGCGACCAAGGAGAGCGAGACCGACTCGAACCGGTCGATTCCGCTCACGATCACTGTCCTTGACGGTATCGTCGCCCGCGAGACGCTCGTTGCGCACTTCCACGAGCGCATGACGTCGGACAAGGCGTTCTTCTACCGCTTCATCTCGCGCGTCGACGACGGCAACTTTGTGGTCGACTCGTCGTTTGACGCGGGCCACCATATCACCGAGCACGTGCTCGTCGACAACGAGACGCCGCACGATATTGCCGAGTCGCTCGCCAACAAGGAGCTCGACCCGTCCCTGCCGCTCTGGGCCATCACGGTGATGCACCACGACGACAAGACGTGGCTCGTCTGGCGCATCCACCACTGCATTGGTGACGGCGCATCGCTCTCGCTCGCGCTCTTCAAGCTCAGCGACGCCACCGAGATGCCGACCCTGCCGACGATGCCCGCGCCGACCACC